GGTTCTTAAAGAGACAGAGGCCAATTTCAAGGCGTTTAGAAGAGGAAATGATGAGAAGATATCTTTATTTTATATTTAAACATAAAAACAGCATTTAATAACAGCTAAAGGTGACATAGATAATTTTTTATGGTATAGTATTTAAACATATGCCTGAGAAACACATAATATTGGCCCTTTAACCTTCACAGCTCACTTTCCTGCATGTTTTAAATGTTTCCCTGCCCCAACACCTGATTTTAATTTAATGACTCACTGACAAGCTGTTCCTGAACTTGATGACCTGCTGGACAGATAATTGTTTTTTTTTTTTTTTTTTTTTTTTTTTTTTTTTTTAAAGATTGGCATCAGTTGAAGAGTTCATATCGGTCAACCCCTAATTCTTAACTTTACTCATTCAATCATAAACGTGAGAATAAGCAACTTCTATCTGGTTACCTGCTGGATCAGGTGTCGTCTCCCAGTGCAGGTCTCCATCTTTGTCCCTGATCCAACCACACAGGCCGTCATCAAAGAAGCAGCTCAAATAGCCCGACTCTAAACAAGAACAGGTTATTTTAGTTGAAGTGTGGTTTCACACATACAAACAGAGCATCTTTTAAAGTCAACAGGAAGAAATCTTAAGCTGCCTCAGGTGACAAGAAAGTTGTTGGTTTTTGTATTTCTTGAAGAAATTTGATACTTTCAAGGAACAAAAATTAAATGTAGATTTTGTGATTGTAGTTTGTTATGACTATTTCGTGCACACATGCCATACATCAAGCTAAAAATACACTGTTTCAGCTTAGAGTCATAATATTTAGAGTCTGACATTCTCTTTCCTATTTGAGATGCTGAGACATTATCAGTGAGTCAGTCCAATAAAATGTGCTCAGCTGTACAAAAAGCTCCAAAGATAAAAATAACATCAATCATTTAGTCTTTTAAACAGGGTTTCCAGACAAGGATGAGTCACTATTTAATTCATATTTTTTCTCCTTTGACAAACTATATAAAAAGGATGTACAATGAATAAAAACAAAACACACTCAAAAAAGTCATTAGGCCATTTATTGTGTTTGTTTGTTTGTTTTTTTCTCTCTGCTGGCATTAATAAATCATACTGAGGGAACATGACACAGAATCCTTTTGCTTCACGAAGCTTGCCGTTATTATTGAGGGTGAATTCTGCATCGAGTCCCGCGTTAAGCAGATGTGCTGAGCGGAAAACTGATGCGCTTCAAATCAATTAATCATTCGAGCAATCAGGCAAGCAGAAAGTGAGGAGCAGAACAGTTTTGCCAGGGCTGTCTGGGCTGAGAGCCACCGTTTAAAACTCAGATGCACCGTGGTGCCTCGCGGTGCGAATCTTTATGAAAACACATCTAAAAAACACAACCTTCACCTCCATAACAGCTCGGCAGGAAGGTGAGTTTCAGTTCGTCCATCTTTCATGTGGTCGGCCTGTCAACTTTTGCCAATCGTGTCTGTTATATGTTTACCTGGGTCGTCCTTGGCTTCGTCTGCTGTGTTGCCAAGCTCAATGTCAAAGTCGGCGTCAGGAATGGTGTTGTGGCCGGGGTTCCGAGGGACTGAGGAGAGAGAGAGACGCAGGTGTTGATAAAGGATTAACCAAGGTATTATATTTGTTCATCACTATCTGCTTGGAGCTGTTGTACACCTTTGTTTCATTGCTCAACAGAGGACTTCACCGGGATGAATCAATGTCACGGTTTAGCTTCTGCATACCAAGGTTTATGAACATTAGGTCACAGAGTGTGTGTGTGGAGTATTGGAGCTATCAGGGAAGCTGGAAATCCTTAAATGGGGGTGGGGGTGGCTGGTATAATGTATTTCCCAGGCACATACTTCAATTCAATACTTCAACCAAGTTACTATCAGATATTATAAAAATGCGGTATATATCAAAAATAAATTTGACTTTACATCATATTCTATCTAAACACCTTGAAATTGGCCTCTGTCTCTTTAAGAACCTATTATTGTTTCCAACAATCCCACTTGCTTCAGGGAGGGGTGCTCTGTGTGCTGAGCACTGAGCTCCAGGGAGGGGCTTTGTATAAACAGGCAGTGCTTTGTACCAGCAAGTGTTTAGGCAGCTCCACGTGGCTACCACAAGGGTTTCTTAAACATGCATGACTGACTCAAAGCAACACTCTGGGTATGTTTTTGATGAGAGAATTACATTATAACGTGATGTACTACTCAAAAAAAGTCAGTTTTGCATAATCTCCCCTGCCCCGTGAACAGCTGAGGCCAACGTGAGTCATGGTGAATAAAATAAATAAAGGTCAATGTTTCATCTGATGTAACATCTGGTCATGTGTTTCACCCTGTAAATCTGTGCATGCACATACTGTAAGGCGTGCAGCCAGAACCAAAATAACCTGTACCGATTCAGTGGGGGG